TGGAAAGTAAATCTTGGGGCAACTAGATAAGGTGATAAATTTGAAGAACCGTGCCTTGCTGGAGGAGGATCGGTGTTTGTGGTCGAGCAATGGTTTGCAGAAGAGTTTCTGGACAGAGGCTTCGACATATTTGGGTCATCCTATTAAAGAGTTGTCAACTGCTGTGATTGGAGGTAAAACTCCATTGGAAAATAGGTCTGGTAGTGTCACTTTGGTTGAGGCTTCGATGAGGAAGCCAATTGACTCTCAGCAAGTGGAGAGTTTTGGACAGACCTTAGAGGTATCGCAGCAGGTGGAGACTGATGCTACTCCACATTGGGTAGGGATTTTCCCACATACTCCAGGTCATTCTGTATTGGTTGGGATTCCAGCTGAGGTGACACGACGTGGAAGTTATTTGGATTTGGGTGCAGATGATGAGTTGGGTTTTGATTCGAGTGCAGCTGATAGATACAGTTTGGATATGACCATTGGTTCACCTCAAGTGGAGGTGTTTAAGGCCATTGGAGGTGCTATCAGCCGCAGAGTTGATGATTTTGGAGAAGGGTTGCAAACTCTTCTATTGGATTGAGGTCATTTGCGGCCATTTGGGTGAACTACGTTCGGCTTGATTCCTTGGGCAAGAGGATACGTAGGCAGTCTTTATGATGCAGCCGGGTTGGATTATTTGATGGGGGTGAGATCGATTTGGTGAGTTGATACCGATATTTGGAGAGTGTTTGCACTCTCATTTGGGTTCTCGACTTGTTATGGATTGAGTCCGTTGTCGTGAATTGTTTCACTTCGTACTGGACACAACAAGTGAGACATTTGGTTTGGTTGGTGTCGGCTCAGTTTTGTGAAAACTTCACCGAGGCGGAGAATTGTGGATGTGATGTGAGTGGGGACCACGAGCTGAGGCTAAGGCTTGTAGGCGTGTGAAGAGATTACATTGAAGCGGTGCAATTTGAAAGGATGTGACATGAAAAAAAGAAGAAGATAAGATCATGTGCGGTTTTTCGGTTTTCACCCGAACGAATTCCGCAACTATATATAGCTGTTCAATCACTTCCTAGGTTAAGGCTTGGAAAATAAAACGCGCAGAAGAGAAAAAACTTTGGCGGCGTAAAAAAGGGGATCAGGCTTTGAGGGTTGTGCAGGTGCAAGACCAGGCTTTGGAGGAAGAAGACTTGGCAGCTGCAAGGTGAAAAAGGAGGCTTGGTTGCTGAGGTGCACGCGCAGGAGGTTGGCAATTGTTTTGAGGCTACAGTTCGTGCAAAAGAGTCGGCTGTCCTTTTTTTGAAAGAGATATTTGTGTGAGGGATTTGAGAGATTGTTTGAGGGTTTAGATTGAGAGATTGTAAACCCTATTTGTTATTAGTAGATCCCTCTCCTTGCCCCGTGGACGTAGGCAGTTTGCCGAACCACGTAAAAATTGGTTGTTTGAGTTTGTGGTCATTGTAATAGTTTGTAGGATCCCTCGACAGGTCAGTCCTAGAACTGATGAGAGGAAGAGCCGATATCTCACTTGGTTGAGATATCCGCTTCAGATTCTTGTTTCCTTGGTGAGACGAGAATTCTTATCGATCTTTCTCTATTATTGTGCACCAGAAACTCTGCCGAAATTTCCGCTGCGCACAACAGACACATCACTACCAAGCACAAAATTTGTGTTTGGTACCAAGCATACCCATATTTCTCATATGAGAAAAATGGGTATGTTTGGTATCAAGCACAAAAAGTTGTGCTTGGTAATGAGGTGGTATAATCCCCTCCATCCATTCAAATGGTTGCATATCCCCATGCACTCCTCAACCCATGTGAATGTGGTCCCCTATTTGAATGAGTGGAGGGGATTGTGCCACCTCACTACCAAGCATACCCATATTTCTCTCTCTCTCTCTGTATATATATATATATATATATATATATATATATATAT